GTGCCTGTGCAAGGGGGTCGGTCCCTGCCGATGCGGGGGGCATCGGAGCGCCCGGCTGAGGTGAGCTCGAGAGGCGGCCGCGGAGGGGAGGCCATCGGAAACGGGCAGACGTAGGGGTGTGCCAAGCAGCACGCACACCCTGACACGGGGTGCAAGCTGGACGGCTTAGGAAAAACAGAAGAAGCCTTTTGAATGGCTTATGGGAGAGGGACTGTAAGGGAAGGCGAGAGAAAATTAATGTTGGCCTCGAAGACTGCTTTCTTTCACGTCTGGTACAAGCACTTTATAGCTTATCTTGAGAAACTAGGTGATGAGTCCTGCTTTCTGTATCTCCCCGCTCTATGCTGGCATCACGAGGGGATGGGGTGTGGGTTAGCGTGTCCAGCTCTTTCCTCCACGGTGGGGGAAATCAAAGACTTCTCCTGTTTTCGAGGAACTCAACCGAGAAGCGAGTTGGGACTGTGGTTCTTACCCGGATTTGCCTCACATGGATTTCATGCCAATTTTATAGGGTCTTTCGCCTGCCTAACAGTCTGAGGGCAACCTGAAAGGACTTTGAATCTGCGGTTAGTAATATTGAGTCCTGGGGAGTTAAGTACAGAGGATTCAGGTCTCCCCTTAGGTATCCGTATCACTCAAGGGGAAAGCAGGGCGGTTCAGGTGGAGGTTATCCCATGCTCCGATGGCTTTTGTGTGTTGATAACCTTATTATTTTGCCCTGATGATGTTCGTTGATGAAGAAGGCTGTAGGATGTCACTAATTGCAGAGGCCTCAGTACAAATTGATTTATCCACGCATGTTGCTCCTGCGGTTTTCTCCGTCTTGGCATCAAAACTGGAGAGGTGCAAAGGGCTTTAGCAAACAGCATCTTCTGGGCTTGTCGGTAGGAGAAAGGCTGCACCAGTGCTTTTAGGTGGGACACTTTGGTAGCTTGTTATTTGCTTTTGCAGTGGACAGAAGTATCTGCAAATTGGAGGCTCAAGCATTTCCATGGCAGTTAGCTGCTCCAAAGCAGCAGGCGGTTGCTTAGGCTGGGAAAACTTAGAGGGCATCAACAGGGATCCAATTGCATGGGGCTCCAGATATTTCCTCCTTTATCCTGTTTATTGCATTTGAAAGGAAACAATCATGGTCTTTGCATAAAGCCTAAGTTGTTTCTTCAACTCTTCTTCAGTCTCTCCAGAGATAGTTCCTGTCTGAACAGACCAGTAGGGCAGTGCAATTTTCACAGGTCCGTTCTTTGGCTTCATATTTTACTATATATCAAACTTTAAAGGAGCCTTTTCATTAATGTTTTGTTTACAAATGCTCAGCAAAAGCTCAGAGGAGTAAACTGCAAGCCTGGGATTGTGTGTTTAGCATCTTTTCCTGTGCGAGGTTGACACAAGAGGCTCTCATACCCCTTCCAGAAGGCCCTCTTCGACCCTCCCAGCCTCTTTGTAAATTGGTTAATGGTTGCCTGCTTACCAGAGACACTTATCGACTAACACATCAATCCGGTGGTTAAGGAAATAATTTCCACTCTGGCAACACTTCAGCTAAATACTAGGCACCTTTTATGTAGAAGTCTTCGTGCTGAACACTACTTTGTGCACGGGTATTTTCCCCAAGCTTTCAGGCAGCAGTCACTGTTTGGAAACAGTAAGAAGGAGACATCTGCTCCCTGTATCTCCCGTCTTCCCGCTCCTGGCTCAACACTGCCTCTCCATGCCCTGACATGCTCCATTAGAGCTTCTCCTTCCTTTAAGCCATTTTTTTCACCTCCCATCCCACACTCAGTTCTTGCATTCCCCTCTTGCTTGCCAATGTCCCAGGCAAGTCTGTTTTTGTTTTCTATGTTCCTGTATTACAGTCGGCAGCAGTTATCTATCTGCTGTCCCATGGCGTCCCTTTCTGCCCTTATTCCTTGAGCCTCCTGGGCATCAGGCTCCTGGGACTGAAGGCATAACCCCATACCTACCTGCTGTAATGCAGGTAATGTACTTCTAAAGAAAAGTGCATCTACTCTTCCCTCCCAAGTTCTGCAGGGCCGTTTCAGATATTTCCTGAAGTCTAAAATGTTTCCAGCCTCGTTTCCCCTTGCTCATCCCCTCATAGGGAGGACACTAAGCGGAGATGTGTCCATGTGGAGGAAGGGAACAAGAGCGGGACAAGTATTTCCTCATCTGCTCCATGAGGAATACACCCCAGCAGCTGCCTCCTGAGCACCAGGCATGTCCAGGCTTTCCATTTGGGGGATTTGAGTGTTTCTGCAGAGAAAAGGTGGAAGAAATAAGTGACCTTTGCCTCCATGAGGGCACTAAGCAGCAGAGGAAAAATGTGCATTGTCACCAATATCAAACACTGTTTTGCTGTAGGAAAATAGCTGTAGGAGCTATGCGTATCCATGCGAGTTAACAAACAAGGGGTAATATATATATTGATGGGTGGCAAATGCTTACCACATCTTGGTTGTGTTACTCTCTTTGGGGAAGTAGCAGGTCCAGACCCAGGGCTGGAGACGAGGCTGCAGCTCAAGCCCATCTGAGAGATGGACAGATCTCCAGCAAAGCACCCGGGCGAGGACTGGGTGCCCCAGGCTGAGCTCCAAAGGGTGCCATGGGTCGGGTGCTTCCTTTGTTGTAGCCAGCAGAGGTTGTTCATGAGGATGCGCACACATGTGCACTCACTAGCAGACAAGTACCAACGCCAGAAGCCTCCCCAGATTCATCCTCATGAAGCCCCGAGATCCCTAGTGTTAACATTCCGGGTAGTTTTCCCGCCTGGGAGAGCCATGTTGGCTCCCTGTTTATTCCCATGACAGCACACTGAAATGGGAAGAGTCAACACTGATATCCCTTGTTGCTGTCCCTTGCTGTCATTTCCCAAACGTGTAGAAGTCATTGTGTGTCCCTGCTTCTGAGGTGCGCTCCTTAAAAAAAATACTTGGTTTCCCCTTGCTTCGTTATTTCTCCTCTGCATCTTTATGTCAGCCACAAAGATCTAATCTGAAACATACACAGGGAAAAAAAAAAGGAAATTATTGCTACTGTTCTTAGAGATAATGAGTTTAATGTCAAATTCATGTGGATTTCTTCATAATGAACAGAACAAATTGAGCTCAAATTCAAACAGTGGGAATCTGAGTCAGAGAGGAAAATTAAAATGAAGAACATTAATATCCTGATTTCTAACCCAACGGAGACCTGATTGTTTCCTAAATGAAATCTCCCATCAAATTCCTCCCACCCACCCCAAAATATAATTAAGCTGTGGTTTCCGCGCTGAAACCAGATCTGCTCTGTGAGCGCGGCGGGGACGACTGCGTGTGCTCTGGGGAGGGTGGGTGAAGCCTTACGTTATCTCCAGGTGGCCGCAGTGTAGTGCTTTCTGCACGTGCAGAAAGCAGCTTTTCGGAGGCAGCAGCAAGCGGGAGGTTGTGCATTTGGCGGGAGCCCACGCGCTCCGCGGAGCTTCCCACTGGGCACTGCTCTTCCCCGCTGCCGTCCCCACGGTTTGGACGGGCCCACCGCATCGGCCAGGGGCTTTGCTGTGAAATTCGTCTCCAGCCCTCATGTGCGGGAGAGGCCGGGGGAGGCCCTGCGTGCTGCTGTGTCGCGCGTGTAACGGGGGGAATTTGAACCGTGCCGTGGGGCAGCTCCAAGCAAAGAAGGCCAATAGGATCCTGGGGTGCGTTAAGAAGAGAGTCTCCAGTATTGTGTCCAGTTCTGGGCCCCACAGGACGGAGCTGCTGGAGAGAGTCCAGTGCAGGGCCACAAGGATGATCAGGGGCCTGGAACATCTGCCCTATGAGGAGAGGCTGGGGGAGCTGGGCCTGTTCAGCCTGGAGAAGAGAAGGCTGAGAGGGGATCTAATCAGTGTATATAAGTACCTCAAGGGAGGCAGTGAGGAAGATGGTGCTGGCCTCTTTTCCCTGGTGGCCACCAACAGAACTGGAGCAAACGTCCAGAAACTGAAGCCTCAAAAGTTCCACAGGAACTTAAGGAAAAATTTCTTACCAGTGAGGGTGCCAGAGCACTGGAACAGGCTGCCCAGAGAGGTTGTGGAGTCTCCTTCTCTAGAGATCTTCCAAACCCGCTTGGACGCAGTCCCGTGCCACGTGCTCTAGGTGCCCCTGCATGTGCCGGGGTGCTGGACTAGATGATCTCTAGAGGTCCCTTCCAACCTTACGGATTCTATGATTCTATGAACGGTGCAGCGCTGTTCCTACCTTCACGCATCTCGGATGTTAGCGATGGCTGGATCTGCTGGACATGGCGCTGTCACATCCTCATGTTTTGGCACAGACATCGCCGGGGTGGCGGGTGGGCGAGAGATCCGTGCTTCCTGCAAGCCCTCGATGCCGCTGCAGCGCTGCTCTTGTTCGGCCTCAGAAAGCACCAGCAACACCAAGCTAGAAACGAACCACCCGCAAATCACAGAATCACAGCCTGGTTGAGGTGGGAAGGAACCTCTGGAGATGATCAGCTACAAACCAGAGAGCATTCTCAGGTAGAAGAGAACAGATGGATATTACCTATCTATTCTGTCGGGCAAGGAAATGCAATGTCTTTTTGGACTACCAATTGCCTGAGCT